CACATGCATAAAAAATTAGTATTTCTGTTGTTTGTTTGGTTTCACATGCATAAAAAATTAGTATTTCTGTTGTTTGTTTGGTTTCACATGCATAAAAAATTAGTATTTCTGTTGTTTGTTTGGTTTCACATGCATAAAAAATTAGTATTTCTGTTGTTTGTTTGGTTTCACATGCATAAAAAATTAGTATTTCTGTTGTTTGTTTGGTTTCACATGCATAAAAAATTAGTATTTCTGTTGTTTGTTTGGTTTCACATGCATAAAAAATTAGTATTTCTGTTGTTTGTTTGGTTTCACATGCATAAAAAATTAGTATTTCTGTTGTTTGTTTGGTTTCACATGCATAAAAAATTAGTATTTCTGTAGTTTGTTTGGTTTCTTTTTGGATAAAGATATCGATTGCATATATGACTCAATAACATTTTAGGAGCACCTGCACTTAAAATTAGCTCACAGAAAAATCAATTCAGTTTGTCACATGATCTATAAAAATTTCTCATAGCAACAATATGTTTTCCTCTCAAAAGAAAACTATACTTAACCATAACAAGGTTCTTAATTGAAATAAAAGCCCTTCAGTGTGAAAAGTAAAACCTTCACGATGTTGATAACCCCGGTTACCATGACGACCTGGATATCTTCACATGCAAAGATAGTTAATTGCGCGGGGCAAAGAGATCCTGTTTTAGAAAAGAAGAAAAAGCTCCTGTAATTCATAAATAACATTTTATATGATAAAAAAGCAAAAGAAGAATTTCCTTTGGAACCAGGATATTGAGTCTCGTCCGTTACAGAAACTTCAGATTCTCAAGATATCACAAAACAGAGAATAAAATCAACTTGTCATGATGCTTTCCCTTGGTAAGGCATTAAGCCTAACACATCCGGTTAAAACTCAAATTGTAGAACTTTTAGGAGAGATTTGAACTCCATATTTTTCGGAAATGCCCTACACAGAGCAATTTATGGATCACTTTTTGAAAGCGACCACACAATGAAAACACCGGTCCCTTTACCAATACTCCGCCCCTAGAAAAAGTGGTTCACCTTGCCAGCTTAATCAGCCTCCCAACTCGATTCGAATAACTTTCAAATTTCACTTAGACTTAATACTCTACGTTTGTGGAAATCTTATCGTGAATTTGCAGTGATTTGCCTGACGATCGACAGGTCGTCTGAGTGGGTGCGATCGACTACTCGCTTTTCACCAATCTCCTACAATTGTCTTTTATTGTATCTTTTAAAAGTATTTAAGGATGTAAATTTTACAGCCCGAGTAAACTAAAAACTCTTACCTTTCAATTCCCCTGAAAACGCCCTACGTTAGTCTAAGATGGCTGATGGGAGACGGATAGCGTAGGATGGAACGGCAATTTCAATTGAATAAGCAAAGCTCAGTAATTTTACTCTCCCGTCTGCGAGACAGCAACTCGCGTGACGCATTCAACTGATTACAATTTGTGTTGGTTCCCGCTTTAGCTCTTAGACGACGACATATGGTCAAGAGCCGGGTTAAGGGATTTGAGTGTATTAAAACTGTTGAAACACTGCTAAGTTGGACACAATCAGGAAACAAGACTCGCTTTCTCTTGCCCGCTGGCGATGCTATTCATTGAAAATAGAAAAAAAAACTGTAACATTACACTAAGCAATTCACATAAATCAAAAAACGCATCGGTTCTTTATAATGAGATCAGAGTAATGTTCGCGTCCATCACATTTAAAAATCAGAAAGGTCACTGGGGATGGCAGACACTTTGCACGCGATCTGCAGCGTGACAAAATCGATCTGTTCTTCCATTTTCGACGAATGTTGATCTTCAACATCATAGACTAGAGTAAAATTTCTGGTGGGGAACAGTGTCTGACGCTGGATGAATTAAATTTTGATTTTAAAATGAAGTATGATCAAAGGTGTCCGTTTTAAAACAAGTTACAGTTTAAAATAAGTTAGAGGAAAGGATTAATGGTAGCCTACACTAAATCGTGAAAGAGAAATTCGTTACATATGTCAGAAGAACCTTCGACGAAAACCAGCCAATGGAGTGGGATTAGGAAGCTATAAACACTTGTTAATTCATGAATAGACGATATTACATATCTCTTACTAGTGAGCGAAGCGAACGAGTGAGAGATACTTACAGCACTCGAAGATAAAATTCGTATCCCCAAGCGGTTATGTAATGTTCTGTTTATTTTTTAGATACCGATGAAAGCTCAAAACAACCGGCCGCGTGCCTGAACGGGAAGCTCTCTTCTAATTGGCTAATCATGCTAGTAACCATGGCGACACCAATATCCTAACACGTGAAAGATAAAAATAGTATCTTCCTTGCGCGCGATGAAGATATGATTTTTTAGTAAAAGGAAAAAATTCGTGGTATTTCATCGGTATCTTTATAATAATGTAACATAAGTGCCAGCTTTAATTTGCATTCCTCTCCCTTAACATATCGGAAAGGTCACACTCATCTTGTATTGAACACGCGAGTCGTTGCGAAACCGTCTAACCGATCTGTTCTTCCACATGCAACGAAAATTGATTTATGATATCGCAAACGAAAAATATTTGGACGGCGAATCGTGTTCGGCCTTATTAAATCATCATTCATTCATGTTTCGCTACACATTGTTCAGTTGTTCATAGTTAAGCCCTGAATCGTGACTGGTTTGGCCAAAACAAATCCACCACATAGAGATTTACGTAAGAAATTAAAGAAGCAACTTCAAACAAAAAACTTCGTCTGGAATGCCTGAAGGAATCGCAATGATTTTTCATCGGTGTTTCTTATTTGAAATAAAAACTTGTCTTTTTGGGCGATCAGTCATTACTCATCCTCCATATAGCTCTGTATTATCTTCTATTCTCCTCATTGGCAATTAAATGGTCAAATTGTTAGACTTTGTCGCAAGTTGAAGCAGTTTTTCTGTGAGCTGATTTTAAGTGTAGGTGATATCTGCATTCGAGAATTAGCGCTCCTAAAAAGTGTCTCGAAATTGTTTTTGTATCAAATATACAATGGTCATTTGTTGCCTTGCTTTTTATTCCGAATATACTTTTCGAGTAGCACGCAATGTCTGGTCACGGATCCGACACAATTTTACCAAAAACTGCCCTGAGGATCTCTTGTTCGAATCTATATGTGTACTTTGAAAAGCGATTCTCAGGCATTTTCTGCGATTTTCACCTTAAATCTTGAGTTCTGAGGAAAAACTGTCTGAATCAATTTAAATTATTTCCTTTTATATTTGCAATACTTTATTCAACTATCCTTGTTTCATTTGAGCTTGTTTTGGGGAAAAGGACGAGTTTTCAAGATTTACTGAACATTGGGTGTCTCGTAAATTTTTGTCTGGGAGGGAAAAAAAAGTTAAACAACCACTTGCAAATGTTATATAATACTGAACTGATTCGTACCTTTGACCATGCACATGGCGAAGAGTAGATGCACTTAAGGGTTTGGAGAGCACCTTTAAATGCTTTTAAAAAGAAGCTAGAGTTGCTGCCGGCTTCGCCCCGAGCGACTCTTACGCTTTCCTCGTGTTCTCCAACCTTCCTACATGTATCGATACCTCGATAAATGTATCCTCTTCTACGTTAGCGAACGGAATGTCAAAGCTTGCTATAAACTTGCAATAGATCTGGTAATTAACATAAAAGGTTCAACTTGAAGCCCCGGTAGATGAGCAATCAAGGCTGCCTAGTTATCTCATGTTGCACTGAGAGCGCCGGATTACCGTGCAGGAGGTTGGGTTAAAGCCCTGGACCAGACCAACACTCAGGGTCCTAAAATAACTGAGGAGAATGAGCTGCCTTTGCTATGGTTAGACATTTTAGTCTCTTCGGATAAGGGCGAAAAAACTTCTCCTTCATCTTTTCTGTACTGGTTCGTTACAGAAGTTAAAGAGGACACACACTCAGTATTGCAAAGAGTAGGGAACGTAGTTCCCGGTGTTGGGCTCTGGCCTTGATTCTTAAATTGGGGGCATCTGCAAAAATATCCTTCAAATGCAGTCTGTTCTACGTCACCCGCAAAGTGTTGTAATAAGCCACGAGCCAATGGACATGGCACCATATGAATACTTCATTATTATTACTAAGCCTTTTCAATAGTTAAGAACTCTTCGTTACGTAAAGTACTTACTTAATTGCTCCCACCTTGCTTTTGCCTTAGGACCGTAAGGCTGTCGAAATTAGAACAAAAAGAAATCTAACTGAATCATATGCCTAGAATGAATCGAAATAAGACAATACAAAGCTAAGCATTCAAGTTCACACACATCTTAGCCAAGTTTGGCTGTGAAGTTAAGTGGTAGACCTTGAAAAATAAATTATGAAAATGAGACACATAGTACCTCGGGGACACAGCAGTGTAGCCATAAGTCTTTGTAATAGCGACTCTTTATATTCTCGATTTAGCATATTCCGTAGATAAAATTTATGACTTCGTAACTTGATGGTGCTGCTTTAATACAACGCCTTTTAAAGGATGTTTTCAACTTTTTGTAAATGTTCTCGCAAACTAGCCCAAGGACTACATATATTTACTATACATTTGTCTACCTAGCCTACGGCAATTAGAGTAAAATAAAGACTAATATACACACGACGCTTTTTCATGATGGATGTCTGCAACTTTTTTTTAGATGTTATCGCAATAAGCCCCCAGATTACATCTATGTACCATGTATCGTGACACAATCAAAATCTGCCGACTCTCACCCCCCCCCCGAAAAAAAAACACTTTCCGCTTGCTGTATGTTGTTTCTTTATCTCAATTAGGATTATTGTGTAAAACAGCGCTTTGTGAGCAGCCGTCATCTACTTTCCCACCATATCACATTTTAATTTTCTTTTAATTGTGCAACCGGTATCTGATATATATGTACAGTTTAAAACTTTGCGTTTTGGAACCTTGGAGGAGAAAAAAACACTTTTGAAAGCGACCATGACGTTAAGTGCAACACGGTCCAGTTGATAAAAGTGGAAAGCAGTTTGACCCTCTTAAGGTTACTTCCTACCTACAGAGGCCGAAAAAATGTTTTTTGTTTTTTTTTTGGGGGGGGGGGACTAGATTGAAGTTAGACATTTTAACTAACGTTTACAGAAAAAAGATTAAAAATCTCAAAAAGCGTCCGACTTAAAAACGTATTTTCAGATAAAAGTTAATAAATCAGGAAGGTGTCATATAATCTCGTAAATGGGCGAACCCCCCGGGGGAATGTTCGCGGTAATTTCATGTCGTTTGCATATTTTGTTTACATCGCCCACTTGAGAAAATTCACACGTGGAAGTTATCTGCTCGTGGAAAGTCTTTTCACATGGATAAAAAACATAACTCAAAATTAGAGACGAGTCCTTGGGTAAAGAAAAAGAAAAAAATAACAGGCCCAAAGAAGAGAGAAATGGCAGCATTTTGTCAAAAGAAGAAAAAAAAAACAGTCCTTGCTGAAAGCGACAAAGGCTCTTGGTTTGGCCAGGAGCCTTCGGCAAGCTCGGCATCTGTTGAAGATCGGCAGCATTCGATTATCCTTTGGGCTAGCAGCTTAGCAGCTTAAGAATTAAAGTCAACACCACAGAAGGTTGTAAACAAGATTGTTGGTCGGAATCTGACGAAAGGAGGAAAAGAAGAATGCGACAGACTTACCCTTTCTGCCGCGGGTTTTTCCTTCGCCGACTTTGTCCATTACTGAACGAGCAACAGAGCAAGATAAAAAAACGTGACTGCTACGCGATACTTTTCGCGGGAAAATATTGATCTATTGTCATTGACGCCAGGGGGGCTCGTCTTCTCATTGGTTTGCGGTTTCAGGAGGCGGGCAAGAGTACCATATAACCTCACACATGAATTATTCATTTAGACTAGTAGACTTTGTTTTTAAAGTTTTGTCGTCAAAGACAAAGAAGTGGAATGCATAATTAATGTATGGGGTTTTATGGTACTCTTGCCGAGCGAATTTATGGGGTATGTAGATTTGACCGATTTTGGTGAAATTTCGCCAAAAAATTCCTGGAATGATGACGAACAAAAGTGTGTCAGGAAATTTTGATATTTGGAATATTTTTTACGTGGTGTCCATTTACGCAACACGTTTCGCATATTTTTCGCTACTCTAACTTTAGATGCGAATATCAAGACAACCAATCAGAATATCGGAAAAGCCTGACCGCACTTTTGTTGATTGATACCTTGTGAATGAGACTGTGCAGCCATTTTTCTCGTGCCACGGGATCCGATGTCCAATAGAAGGAACCACGGTCATTTCACGCCTTACCGGCTCCTGACACTTCCTAAATGAAAAAATCGCCTTAGTTATATTTTCATCGTAAACTGCATTTATTAAGCTTTGTTTTGATGTATAGTTTGTTAGGGTTTTCTTCAAACTAGCGCGCGTACGAATTTTTTCCCGAAGGACACCCACGGAGGTAGGAAAGTAAACTTAAATATTGACAACTGTATGCGGAAAAAGTGGTGTGAAATCTTTGCGTCGTAAATTAAAAACGAAGCTGACATATAACCTCAATTCAGAGTTAGTTCCTAAAAGTGTCATAATTAGAATTAAAAATTAAAAATATCTTCGAGGGTTACAGATCTATAAGAATCTAAGCTAACTACTAGACAAATTAAAATAAAATAGAATAAAATAACGTTAGATTTCTCAACCCGTTTATGTTTCACTATCTATTGATAATCTCCTACAGCTCGAGTAAATCGACTATAAAAGAATAAAGTGTATCGGCGCATTTATCAGGCCTTTTGTTCTTCTTCCTCGTTGTCTTTCCTCAACAGAGCGGCATGGTTTCCTTCAAGATCTCCAATTAAGTTCAATTTATTTTTCCAGATTTTGGGTTTTGGTTTGATTTTCTCAGGATCATAACGCTCTGCGCTTCTGATTACGACTCCGTCGTAAGTGAAACCAGCCTTTATCACGCGAAAAATCAGATGGTGACTTTCGTAAACTTACCCACAGGCAGCTCAGGCTCTTGATTAGCTCAAATTTTTAAGTAGAGATATTGTTTCGAAAAACAAATTTCTTTTTAAACAGGTTTTGTGACGAAATTCACCTTAACCGTAACATATTTACTGACACACATTCGTTTGATAAAATTATTTAGATCTCCTGCGTAATTTTGCCTTCAATTATTGCTTTGAATTATATTCTCT